GAGGGGGTGATGGGGGGAGGAGGGGTATTGAGGGGTGACACTCATGCAGCCCACTCCGCCCCCTCTATGTCCATCTTCACCACCACCGAGTCTTCCTCTGTCAATTGCAGCTCGTCCAGCAGCCACCGCGTCATGTTCACTGTGTTCTGGGAGGGGAGAAGGGGGGAGGGGATTGGATGGAAGGAGAGAGGGGAGGAAAGGGGAGTACTGAGGGTGGGGACTCGTGCAGCACGGCCCACTCCGCCCCCTCTCTGTCAACTGCAGCTCGTCCAACAGCGACCGTGTCACGCTCACTGTGTTCTGAGGAGGGGTTCGGGGGCAAGAGGGGGTGAGGGGGAAGGAGGAGTAGGATGGGTAAGGAGAAAGCCACAATATCTGTATGCACCCACCACTGAGTTGTGAGAGGATGAGGAGAGCAGGGATATTGCCGGGGGCCACTCATGCAGCACTTCCCACTCCAGGGGGCCAGTTGTGCAGGGGGTGAGGAGGGGGGAAGGAGGAGTAAGATAAGAAAGGGGACAGCCCGAATCTCCGTATTCACCGCATTCAGCCCCACTCCGCCCCCTCTATGTCCCTCTTGACAATGACAGAGTCTTCCTCTGTCAGCTGCAGCTCGTCCAACAGCCACCGGGTTACGTTCTGAGGGAGGGAGAGGGGAAGGATGGGGGAGGCGGGAGGAGGAGGAACATGGGAAAGGGGAAGCGGGCAGAAAAAGGGAACAAAAAAAAACCGGGAGGAAATAAAAAGGAGAGCTATGGTTGGTATGACTGGGCCCCCTCCGCCGCTCCCTCTGTTGGTCTCTGTTAGTCACGCTCAGTGCGCTCTGGGAGGAAGGAGAGATGGAGGAGGGAGAGAGGGAGAAAGGAGAGAGGGAGGAGGGAGAGAGGGAGAAAGGAGAGAGGGAGGAGGGAGAGAGGGACAAACGAGAGAGGGAGGAGGGAGAGAGGGAGGAGGGAGAGAGGGAGGAGGGAGGAGGGAGAGAGGGAGGAGGGAGAGAGGGAGGAGGGAGAGAGGGACAAAGGAGAGAGGGAGGAGGGAGAGAGGGACAAAGGAGAGAGGGAAGGGAGAGAAGGAGGAGGAAGTGAGGGAGGAGGCAGAGAAGGAATGCGGAGAGGGAGGAGGGAGAGAGGGGGGAGGGAGAGAAGGAGGAGGGAGAGAGGGAGGGGGGAGAGAAGGAGGAGGGAGAGAGGGAGGAGGCAGAGAGGGAGGAGGCAGAGAGGGAGGACAGAAAGGCTAGCTCTAGTCACCACTAGTGGAGCCCATGTGCTCCTTCCTTGGCTGAGGGAAGGAGAAGGTTTTGGGTCTTGAGACGCCTCACAAGCCTCTCCATGTGCTCCTCCCTTGGCTGCAGTGCCCGCCTGGTCACGTTCCCTGCAGCATGGAGAGGAAAGGAAGGGAAAAGGGGTGAGGAACGATAGAGGGCCGGTAAGGGAGTAAGGAAAGGGTGAGGGGGGAAATGGAGGGGAGAAAAAAAGAAAGATAAGGGGGAGGGGGGAAGGCTGTTCCAGGGGTCACTGAGGGTGAAGTTCTCGTCGCTGTTACCTCTTCGACTTGGTTGTCACACCTATCGCAAATAAGAAAGGCTATAGCAAGTCACATAGCAAGCCACACCTCTGGCATACCAGAGAAAGGCTCTTTCAGGACTCAGCAAGGGTGCCTTCTACGGTCACATTGTCAATTCAGGTTGTTACCTTTTTTTTTCTTATAGGTGTAACAATCATAAAGTTTTTGTGGCGGTTACCTCTTCGTGATTGTCCTGGGAAGAGATGAAGAAGTTGTAGGGGTGAACTCGTTGCATCAGCCACGCAGGGAAGCCTGCAGGGCCCCCGTGGAACGGACGCAGGCGAGAGTGCGAGTTGATCTCATATGCCGGTACCTGAAATGGTTAAGTGCGGTACAGACATGGTAACGAGTGGCTGGGAAGGGTATGTGTGGCTTGAACTAATAGAATCTTCTATTCTATTGAAATAATAAAGATGAAAGAAATTTAATTTATGATGGCAGGTGGGGAGAATTAGGGGAGAATGGGGAGGGAGGACGAACACGCAGAGTGTTAGGAGCGTATTCCCTTATCCATGCCAAGAGCGAGTGCCCCATCCATGCCAAGAGCGAATGCTCCATCCATGCCAAGAGCGAATGCCCCATCCATGCCAAGAGCGAATGCCCCATCCATGCCAAGAGCGAATGCCCCATCCATGCCAAGAGCGAATGCCCCATCCATGCCAAGAGTGAATGCCCCATCCATGCCAAGAGCGAATGCCCCATCCATGCCAAGAGCGAATGCCCCATCCATGCCAAGAGCGAATGCCCCATCCATGCCAAGAGCGAATGCCCCATCCATGCCAAGAGCGAATGCCCCATCCATGCCAAGAGCGAATGCCCCATCCATGCCAAGAGCGAATGCCCCATCCATGCCAAGAGCGAATGCCCCATCCATGCCAATAGCGAATGCCCCATCCATGCCAAGAGCGAATGCCCCATCCATGCCAAGAGCGAATGCCCCATCCATGCCAAGAGCGAATGCCTAACCGTATGTGCATATGCTAGAAATAGCGCTGGCGTGAACATGCTAGTAGAAATATGCTGGCGGCATGAATTTCCGCTTAGTAAATCCCTTAGTCTGTCGCTGCACCCTCTCCTTCCCAGCCCCCACAACTGCTGGCACGCCTTTCTTTTCCAATATGTGCATACTAGTGCATTAATTTACGCACCTCAAGCGGCGGTGTAGATGGCTTCTGGAACAGGTCGGTTTCCACTTCCACCGCATGAATCTCGGTGAAATCGAGGGGGTACATTCGAAGGAACCAGGCGACACTTGTCTCAAACTTATTGGCTCCGAGGTCTACAAGCACCCTCCGCTTCCTGCGAAATCGCGGAATTTGTTAGGAACGAGAGGGGAGGAGAGAGGGTGTGTTGTGCCAAGAGGGAAAGACGCTACGCGCGCATCTTGGTGAAAACAACGGGTGCATGGGAAAAACCCAAGGTTTCGGGTGTCGGGTTTCGATAATGATCTGCACAACTAGTTTGCGAGAGTAAGCAGGATGCACAAGTCCTTCGAAACCAGATTGCAGAAGTAAGTAAGTTACTAGAAACCGTTCTGTCTAAATGTTTAGGTTCTTGTATATTACAGAAGTTCGTAAAACGTGCATCCTGAGAATGCGGAGATGCAAAAAGGAGGAGCGAATATGTGGAAGAATGAAGGTCGCTAAATCGTTGAACTCATAGCTTTTCTTAGGTCTGTCGGGAACTGAATGTAGAACACAATACCCACCTCCTGTGCAAGGTGGGATCCATGGCGGCTCTTAGAAACGGTAAGATCTGCGTCTTGTCCTCCACGTCCTCCACGAATCCCAAGGTCCACCCACGGCGGAAGTTCAAGTGCGTGTCTAGCTCCTCTATAGGCAGCCCCGCTACAAGACACGGGGAAACGCGCGGTGTCCACTGCGCGCATTGTGGGTGTCGGCAAGGCGCGGGGGGGAGGAAGGAGGAGGAAGCATAACTCCGAAGATGCTCAGTTGAGCGACGTGGAGTGATTGCATGCCATGCACGTTTGAATTCCATTGTGGCTACTATGTCGAGATGGGATATGCTTGTGCAGGACCCTATGATTACATGATATCGCGTTGACTTTTGAGTCGACTCAAACGCTACTATGTCCAGATGGAATATCTTTGTGCAGGACCCTATGACAACATGATATCATCATAGGAAGAGAGAGGGTCCATTTGAGAGTTACACTTTGGGGTGGGCGTGCGTCGACACGGAGTGGGAACGCGGGGACGAACGCGGGGTCGAATGCGGGGAGCATGGCGTTCGACACCAAGCATATCTGCCAGGATCATTGTCCGACCTGGGGTTCACTTAGTAGTACCTTCGTAAACGCCCACGCATCCTCGGGACTGACTTGCGGCGACGAGCTGCTATCTCCGCCATTCTGCACTACCGGAGTGGCTCTGCTGGTTGATGTCCAATCAGAGCACGACTGAGCTGCGATGCGGCCTCCGCTTCTGCTTCCGTCTGCAAATCTTAGCGCTAAGTCGCAGTCGCACGGCGCGCATCGTTTGGAGAGCTGAACGGCTATTATCGGGATCGAGCAGAGGAGGAGGAGCGTCGAGACTATCGCCCAAGCGAGCGCCACTGGATACGGTATTAGCGACTCGACGTTCTTAATCTGCGACTTCGTTGGCAAGTATTGAATATGATGAGGGCTACACTTGACTCTAACGTTACTATGGGAAGCACTAACTGGAGTTGAGTGAACAACCATGACTGCACGACAGGGACTTTTGGCGATGATACTCCCAAGCTTACTTTCCGTTGCCCAGCATCAGGGCGCGATACTCGGAACAGAGGTGCGTCATCAAACGGTATTGTTGTGGCATCCGTGGGCGACCTGTGGGTTCACAGTGGGAGGGTTGAGCCTCGCGAGCGACAAAGAATCTCGCCAAAGCATTTGTTACGAGTGAAATGGTGAGCGAAGCGAGTAGTGCACTGTTACGAATTATTAGGACGTGTCACCTCTAGAAAACTTGGCAGATTTGGGGTGTTTCGGGGGTCAACCCGAACCTAACAGGTTCGGCACACACGTGTGCCCAAATGCAAATCTGCGGTCACCTGGAAAAACCGAGGCACAGGTGACACGTCTGGAGATTTATGGGGCGAAATTCCCCGATAGCGACAATTACACGATCGATCTGTGGCAGGGGACACATCGATCGTGGGAGCCAGAGCTGACACAATACGGTATTGACGACCAGTTTACTGTATAAATGGAGAGGTAACGCGCCCTCATAATCTTCGCCCGATTTTCCATTCAGGTAGCTTCAGGCACTAGGGGCAACTTCTACTAAGTAACATATCCCCAGGCGTAACATATCGAGGTTAACTTCGATCATTCGAACACATCCCCATCCATAGGAATCCCTCATTTTCTTAGGTATCTTTTGGCACTAGAGTTAAATCCCACCAAGTATATCGCACCTCAGAGCAGACTCGCCATCATGACAGCGCAGCAGCAGCCACCGTCGCAGCCTCCCCCAGTAGTCCACGTGGCATTCGCCCGGGCCGCCTATCGCCCGGGCGAAACCGTCATCGCGACGATCGACATCGACAATTTCGCTCCGTCGCCGTCGCCGCTCTCCGCCGCCGCCGCCTCCGCCGGCATCGCATTGCCGTCCTGGGCGATCCCGCAGCGTGCGCCGAGGCGCGACGGCATGAGCAGCAGCAGCAGCAGCAGCAGCGCGATGGGCGGCAGAGTGGGATCCGCGCCGTCGCTGACGAAAAACGCGTCGTTTAGCGGCGCGGGTGGGGGGCGGGCGAGCGAGGGCGAGTTCGGCACTGTAGGGGGTGTGCTTATAGAGAATCTGGTGGTGGATCTTAAAGGCGTGGAGCGGCTCGACCCGTCGTGGATCGTCCTGCCGAAATCCAGCAGCGGCGCGCAGAGCAAAGGTGGGTGGGGGAAAAGAGAGGTGGGTGTGGGAGAGTAGACGTGGGTGTGGGAGCAGGTGGGTGGGAGGGACGGTGGGTGGGAGGAGACAGAGGGTGGGGGGCGTGAAGCAAAGGCCCAGGAGCAATGAGCGACGGGCAGGCAGGGGAAGCGCGTGGCATCCAGAAGGCAGAGAAGAGTGAGCAGGGAGGAGCGGTGGAGTGGGTGTGAGGCGGTGAGGGAGAGAGGGTATGTGAGGGAGTGAGGAGTGAGGGAGCGAGGGAGAGAGGGTATGAGGGAATGAGGAAGTGAGGGTGTGAGGAAGTGAGGGTGTGAGGAAGTGAGGGTGTGAGGAAGTGAAGGTGTGAGTAAGTGAAGGTGTGAGGAAGTGAGGGTGTGAGGAAGTGAAGGTGTGAGGAAGTGAAGGTGTGAGGAAGTGAGGGTGTGAGGAAGTGAGGGTGTGAGGAAATGAGGGTGTGAGGAAGTTAGGGTGTGAGGAAGTGAGGGCGGGCTCGACAGTCGAAGAGGAATGTGAGGTGGCGCATGCAAGGCAAAGGGAGGGGTGTGAATTGTGGCAGGAAGTGGAGTGCGGCAAGCTGTGGTGCTGATTGCAAGCTACTATGGACTGTGGGTAGCGAGCGAGGGTGTCGTTTGAGGAAGCAGGAGTGGGCTCGACAGTCCAAGAGGACTGTGGGGTACTGTGAGGGTGTCGTCGTTGCTTGTGATTAGGGGTACTGTGTACCGCACTTTGGATCGCCTCTCCCACTCCTCACCAAAACACGCCCGGCAGGCGAGAGGGCGATTCTAGAGATGCAGCATGTCACGCCTCCGGGCAGTGTATCCGTTTCCAACCATGCCATCTCCAATCGCCTCCTCTTTCCCAATGCCTTGCCCCATGCCATGCACTGCCCTTGCCCCACGCCTTGCCCTGCCTGCATGCCTCCTACCGAAACACGCCCAGCAGGCGAGAGGGTGATTCTGGAGTCACAGCTCACATCACTTGTCACCAACGTGGCCATCCAACCCGGCACCAGCAAGACCTGTACGCCCCCCCTTCCCTTCCCCCTTTGCCTCCGGTTTGCTCTGCTCCCTTGTGTCGTCCCCTTATGTCTGCCTCCCACTCTCCCTTCTAGTCAGTCCCTTACAACCAACCGCACTGCACCGAATTCTCTTCCCCAAAGCTACCTATTTCCACCTCCTCCTTGCCTTTGCCTCGCCTCGCCCTCGCCCTCTTCTGCCCCGCCCATCCCCCCCCCTCCGTTCTCTCACCCCTCTCTCTCCCAGACGCCATAAGAGCGCAGCTGCCGCGGGTGCTGCCCCCTTCCTACCGGGGCACAGCCGTGCGTTTTCACTACCAGCTCACTGTGATCGTCAAGTGGCGCCCCCTCCCCTCCCCCTCCCCCTCCGCCTCCCCCTCCCCCTCCCCCCTCACCTCCGCCCATTCCTCCTCCTCCTCCGCCCTCCTCTCCTCTCACTCCGCGTCCCCTTCCCCCTCTCCTGGCGTTCCCCGGAGGTCCCACTCTGGGGGGCAGCTAGGGGGGGAAGTGGGGGGAGGAGGGGCGGGGAAGGGCGAGGTGAGCAGGGGGCAAGGGGGCAGCGCGAATACCACTCCGTTGAAGGGGAGAGGGGGAGCGGAGGAGGGGAGAGGGGGAGCAACGGCTGGTTTGGGGAAGGGGAAAGGGGGGAAGGGCGGACAGGGTGGTGCCACGTCTGTTGTGGTGAGCAATGCTGTGTGTGTGAGCAATGCTGTGTGTGTGAGCAATGCTGTGTGTGTGAGCAATGCTGTGTGTGTGAGCAATGCTGTGTGTGTGAGCAATGCTGTGTGTGTGAGCAATGCTGTGTGTGTGAGCAATGCTGTGTGTGTGAGCAATGCTGTGTGTGTGAGCGATACCCCCCATTTTCCCCGCCTCCCTGCCGCATGCTCCCACCCCTCTCCCTCGTCCTCCCTGCGACAATCATCGCCCTCGTCACCCATGCTTCCACTCCTCCTTCGTCATCCTCAGTGGGCTTTCAACGCACTGCAATGCTTCATTCCTCACCAATCTCCCTTCCATGCCTTTCATTCCATCCCCACCCCTCCCATCTGCCCCCATCCCAGGAGGTGCGAGTGCCGCTGCGCATCTGGACGCTGCCCAACCTGAGTGGGCTCACAGTGGAGGAACTGGACTCAGACGATCACTACGGCGTGGGAGGTACGGTTCCCATCGCATCTTCCCACTTGTAGCTTCAGTAGTTTGAGTTGATTGAAAATGCACCCTAGTGGGCTCACTCACAGTGGAGGAGCTGGACTCAGATGATCACTACAGCGTGGGAGGTACGATACGACTCACATGTGCCAAGCCCAGGTGTAGCTGGAGTAGCTTGAGTTGATTGAAATTACACCTGAGTGGGCTCACAGTGGAGGAGCTTGATATAGACGATCACTACGGCGTGGGAGGTACGATACGACTCACATCTTGTGTTCCTCTCTTGCGACCAGCCAACTCTCGTTTTTCAATCCCTCACGCCCTCACTGCCTCACTCAATCCCCCACCTGACCACTCTCCCACAACTCCCTCCCTCCCTCACTCCCTCCCTCCCTCTCATTTTGCCAACAGGCATAGTGCCCACAACACCAGTTGAGCTGGCCCTCACTCCACCAACCCCTCCTTCCATCGCTTACCACTCCTTCCCTCACTCCTTCTCCCCCTCTTTACTCCTTCACTCCCTCCCTCACTCCCTCCCTCACTCACTCCCTCACTCTGCTCCCTCATTCCCTCCGTCACTCCCTCCCTCACTCCCTCCTTCACTCCCACCCTCACTCCCTCCCTCACTCCCTCCCTCACTCCCTCCCTCACTCCCTTCTTCACTCCCGCCCTCACTCCCTCCCTCACTCCCTTCTTCACTCCCGCCCTCACTCCCTCCCTCACTCTCTCCCGCACACTCACAATCCGCACAGGCATAGTGCCGACAGCGCCAGTAGAGGTGGATATTCAGTGGAGGGAGAGGAAGTCCCGGGCGGCACTCATGGTAGGCTGGGCGGCACTCATGGTAGGCTGGGCGGCACTCATGGCAGGCTGGGCGGCACCCATAGTAAGCTGGGCGGCGCGCATGGTAGGCTGGGCGGCGGGGTCTGAGGGCTGTGAGGGTCAAACTGAGGGGGCGTCAGGGGGCTCTGCGACCTGGAGGGAGCCTAATACATCAAGGCAGCAATGCAACAGTTCCCCTGCCTTGCTTTTTCCCCCTCAGACGTGGACAATGGGTCAAGTCGACCCGACACGACACGACCCTTCTTCCCCACACCACACCTCTCTTGTCTCCTCCCTTTGCCCATATTTCCCCGTTTAGCCTTCCTCCCCACCTCAAGGCCACCTTCCTCTCTTTCTCCTTCCCCGCACATCCCCATTGTGGCCTCTTCGCATGTGCATCATGCATGCCTGCCATGCGAACCCTTGTAGCCTTTTTTTCTATAATTCTAAAAAAAATCTAGCCTCTTCGCATGCGCATGTCTGCCATGCGAACCCCATAGCCAGTACCAGCAGACGTGACATGCAAGCAGCTGCAGCCGCTGCTGCTGACCTCCGTCCTTCCTCTCCCCCCCCACTGCCCCCCTACTTCCACCCTCCTTCAGGCCCCCCCACCACCACCAGAACCACCAGCAGCAGAGGAGGATGAGGAGGATGCAACCGCTGCAGCTGGCGCTGCTGAGAGCACCGGGGCAGTGGGAGGGGCGGCAGGGCGGCGCACAGGCAGCCCTGTGGCGGCCACCGCTACCGTCACAGAGGTCGGCGAAGGGGAGGTGGTATCTGGTGCAGGCGGGCCTGGCCTGGCGGAGGGCGCACTTGCAGCAGCCACCAGTTCTGACACTGCTGCTGGCGGTGCTGTTGGGTCTGACGGCCTGCAGAGCCCGCACCTGACCCGCCTGTGGTCCGCCCCTCTCCCCACAGAGGAGGGTAGTCTTGCCGGGGGGACCCAGCAGGCGGGGGCCAACGAGCCCATCGGGCGGTCCAAGTCCATGACTGCTGGCAAGCAGTTCTCAGAGAATGGCGGAGGGGGAGGCAGCTCTGAGTCCCTTTCTTCTTCTGCTGCTGACGGCCGGGGGGGCGGGGGAGGGGGAGGGGGAGCGGGAGGGGCAGGGGGGGCGGGAGCCGCAGGGGGAGGGGCATGGGCGCGGTCATCGTCGCTGCTGGATTTGGAGCCAGACAGCCCCACGCTGTCAGAGCTGGGGGGGCAGGCGGGGGGAGGGCTGTTGTTTGGAGCGTATGGGGGGGCGGGGAACGGGTATGAGGGGGAGAGAGGGGGCGATGGGGGCAGGGGAGGGGCGCTGTCGCTGCTGAACCGGCAGGAGGAGGATGAGGGGCCGTTCATCCCGCAGTCTCCTGGTGAGTCTCCTCTTTCCAACACTTCCCCCCAGGCCTTCCCAGACCCCTTCCACCCCCCCACACCAACCCACTCAATTCCCCCTCCACACCCACACCCCCCGTTTCCCCTCTCCCCCCTGTTCCATCCGTGTGGGCTCAGCCTAGCCTACTAGGCTGCGCTTATGCCACCCTGTCCGCCGTCTTCTCCTCACTGTGAGTTGTTAAAGGGAATATTTGAGACGTCGCAGCCCTCCTGTTGTCCATTGTTGACAAGTGCTGATGCCACCTCGTCCACCTACTCCTCCTCACTGCGAGGTGACTTTTGCGGCGACATTTCAGGCTACAGGTGTGCTGATGCCGCTACAGACAAGACAACATCCGCATTCACCATTGGCTATGCCGCCACTCCCATCCACATCTTTCCCCTCCCTCCCCTCCCTCCCCTCCCTCCCCTGCCTCCCCTCCCGCCCTTCCCTCCCCTCCCTCCCCTCCCTCCTCTCCCTCCTCTTCCTCTCTGCCCTCCCCTCCCCATGCTAGGGCCAGGGGTGCGAGGGCGAACATACAACATCCGCATAGACGACCATGTGCTCGTGCGCTTCACCCCCAGGAACCCGCAGCCCGTGTACTATCTGGGGGATGTGGTGAGTGCCACCTGGGGGGCTGTGTGTGTGGCATGTGGTGTGCAGGGTACAAGCACATTGGGCACATGCATGGGGGCATAGACGACCATGTGCCCGCGCGCTTCACCTCCAGGAACCCCCAGCCGGTTTATTACCTGGGTGACGTGGTGAGAGCAGTCTGCATGGCTGTGTGGGATGGAGGGGCGTTGTGAAGGTGGGTGTGAGGGGCTGTGTGTGGAGTGGAATGCTTACTGATGATGCAGCCCTTGCACGGGCCCATTGAGTATCCATGCCATGAGCTCGTGCGATTCAAACCCAGTAGTGAGTATTCTCAAAATGGAAACCCCAGCCCGTCTACATACCTGGGGGACGTGGTGAGTGTGAGTGTGAGGGGAATTGTGTGTGCATGTGCAAGTGTGGTGTGTGGTTGATGTGACCCGCACATCCCTGCACATGCCTGCTTGGGTCACCACCATCCATCCTTCCTTGGATCATGTGGCATCTCTTTCATTGATGTGCCATCGCATGTCATCGTGTGTCTCCCTTTGCACCTCATGGCCTTGCCTCACCCTCCCTCTCACCGCCCTCCATCCACCCCCACCCCACACCACGCCCCTCTCCCACCAGGTGTCTGGCACTCTCTCCTTTCCCATTGAGGGCGGCCCACGCAGATGTCTCGAGGTGCGTCGCACCCGTTGCTGTGTGCACGTTTGCATGCGAGCGTGTGGGCATGCGTTCGCGTGGCCATGTGTGTGCGTAACCAAAAAAAACATCACCTCTGTGTGTTGTGTGCTCATGCCTTTTATTTATTGGACCACGCATGTGCACGGGACCAATAGCAGGTGCATTGTTGCTCTGCTGCTCCCGTGTTTCCCTCCACCCCCACCATGCACATCTCGTGCTCCTCTTCAACCCTCCATTTCTCCGGAACAAGAATGCCCTACGTATCGTCCTCCCTTTCGCACTGCGTCATCCTGCCACTCCTTTCCCTAACCTGCCTCCCCCGACACTCCAAGTCAACCCCCAATTACTCAGCACGGTGTTTCCACGTCTCTTCCACCCTGCATTCTCTCACCTCTCTCTCCTGCCTTCTCTCCCTCGCCAGGTACCAGCGCTGCTGGAGATGCATGAGATGATCAACTCCCACAGGAGGCAGGTCATGCCTGTTCTTCGTCGTGTTGGGTTTGTTTCTTCCATCTCTCCCTCTCGCCTCCTCTCGCTCCTGCCTCCCTGCCCTGCCAGGTGTCCGTGCTGCTGAAGATGCACGAGGCCATCAACCCCTGTTGGAGGCAGGCACGCAAGGCCTTGAACCCCTGCGTGCCACTGCATTGGGTTTCCTAGTTGGCAGGACGTCCGTGCTGCTGGCGATGCATGACGTCTCTCTCCTGCCTTCTCTTCCCCACGCTCACCAGGTGTCACCTGCGCCTAGTGACACCTACTGGACCTGCGCGAGGTGATCCACCCTCATTCCATTGTCCCGCCATTCTTCTCTCCCACCTCTCCGTCTCGCCTTTTTCCCACCCCACCACCAGGTGTCAGTGCTATTGGAGATGCACGAGGTCATCAACCCGCGCGCCCTCCACACGTCTAGGAGAGTGGCTGCTGCTGCCTCTGCTGCTAAGGTGACCCGCGCTTTGCTGTGCTTGCATTCATGCTTCACACATGTATGCACCCACGTGTACATGCACGCACACATGCGTACATGCACACATGCATGCATGTGTACCAACGCATGTAGCACACACGCATGTGCACCAACGCATGTAGCACACACGCATGTGCACCACCAACGCATGTAGCACACACGCATGTGCACCAACGCATGTAGCACACATGCGTACATGCACACATGCATGCATGTGCACCAACGCATGTAGCACACATGCACGTCGACACTCATGCATGCATGCAAGCCCTTAGCACCTTCCCTCCTTCAAGCATGCTCCCTTCATCTTTGAAATTGCACTCCCCTCGTCTCACTGCCTCTGCAGATATCTTTTCATCCCCTCTTCCCTGATACCTCCGTCACCCCACAATCTCTCCCATGGTTCTTCTCTACCACACCCCCCTTTTCCGCCACATCCTCTCTTTCCACTCTTCCATCCCCTCTCTCTCTCCCTCCCTGTCCCCAGACCCCCCTACACCTGCCGGTGTTGCAGATGGAGCATCACGAGGTGACAGCGGATCTGCTCCACACGCACTTCATCTTCACCATCCCCTCCGACGCCGCCGCCTCCTTCGCCACGCCCATCATCTCACTGCAGGTAGGCCGCCCATGCATGCCCATCATCTCACTCATCGCCCATCGCCCATTCCCTAAACACTTCACTCCTAGTTCCATCACTCCCCTCCTCCTCTCCCTTCCTTCAGTGCTCCCCTCTCCTTCTGTCATATCCTCCCCTCCCTTCCTTTCCCCATATTCCCCTCACCAGTGGATCCTGCACTTTGAGTTTTGCGTTTCCACCAGGTGCCCGGTCACTCCCCTCCGATCTTCCCCCCCGCGCTGCTCTCCCCTCTGCTCTTCCCCCTTCTCTCCCCCCTGCTCTCCCCCCTGCTCCCATCACCAGTGGATCCTGTGCTTTGCGTTTTGTGCATCCCAGGCGCCCAGCACCACCCAGCAGAACCCCTGCAAGCACATGCAAGGCATCAACCACTGCAGCAGCAGACGCATGCACTTCTGCATCTGCTCTGTTTTCTCACCACTCTTCCCTCGCTCCACTGCTCCCCTGCTCCCTGCCCATTCCCTCACCAGTGGATTCTTCGGTTTGAGTTCTGTGCGTCCACCAGGCGACCAGCACCACCCGGCAGCACCCCTGGCAGCGCGGGCAAGGGCAGGCAGCAGCAGCAACCCCCACAGCAGCAGCTGCATGAGAGACCGCATGCGCTGGCCATGGGGGCGGAGACGGAGAGGGGCGAGTGGTCCATGCCCATCACCGTGCACGCGCCCCTGCCTAAAGTAACTCGTAAGTGACATTGCCATTGGTATTCCCCAGCTTGCCTATGAAAGAACCCGCTCATTGTGATGCTGCATGCGCTGGTCATGGGGGCGGAGGTGGAGAGGGGCGAGTGGTCCATGCCCAGTACCGTACACGCCCCGCTGCCTAAAGTAGCTCGTAAGTGACAGTGTTGCTGGCTGGCATTCCCCAGCTTGCTTGTGCGAGTACCGGGCCCCTTGGTGTGAAACCACATGTACTGGCCATGGGGGCAGAGACGGAGAGGGGCGAGTGGTCCATGCCCATCACCGTGCACGCGCCCCTGCCTAAAGTAGCTCGTAAGTGACAGTGTCGTTGGTTGGTACTAGCTTGCTTGTGAAACTTGGTACACACACATTGTGAGGCCGCATGTGCTAGCCATGGGGGCGGAGGTGGAAAGGGGCGAGTGGTCCATGCCCATCACCATGCACGCGTCCCTGCCTAAAGTAACGCGTGAGTGGCAGCTGTGCTACCGTTGGTTGGTATTCCCATCTTCCCATCAGCTGTACAATACCCACTCATAGAGGGGTGTGCTGGCTGGCCATGGGGGCCGAGGTGGAGAGGGGAGAGTGGTCCATGCCCATCACTGTGTATGCCCCGCTGCCTAAAGTAACTCGTTAGGCAGAAACTCGTGAAGGACACTGTTGTTCAAATCCCAAACTGCCTAACAGTGCTGTTGGTTGGTTTACTGCAGCTTGCCTGTGAGTTCCAGTACCCTTTCATTGTGAGTGTCACACCAGTCTGCCTGTGAGCAAGACAGAGAGGGGCGAGTGGTCCATGCCCAGTACCGTGCACGCCCCGCTGTGTAAAGTCACACATGCGTACCAGTGCTCTCGGTATCCCCCCCGTCTTCCATTTGCATTTCATTCTGGGTCACTCTCCTTCCCCACTTGCCTGTAAGAGTACCCCTCATTGTGAAACCACGTGCGTTGGCCACGGGGGCGAGGGTGGAGAGGGGCGAATACAGTCTATGCCGATTACCGTGCATGACCCCCCTGCCCCCCATATTTGAGCCCTGAAACCTTTCCCTCTCCTTGTCCCTCTCCGTGTTCTGCCCTTGCTTCACTACTGCCGTTCTCCCATCTTCCGAGTTCTCTCCACCACACTACCCCAAATTGAAATTAATCCTCCACGTCACTTCATTCCCATCCTTGTATTCATATCCCTCCTTATCATCTTCATGTTCCAATACTATTCGATGATTTTTTTACCTAAGGTCCTTGTTCTACCCCCACCCTTTGCACGGCCATCTCTGCACAGCCATCAGCAACCGGGACAAGGCAGTCTTGCCGCCCGTGCTCCAACAACAGCCATGCTGAGTGCTGCTGCTGCTGCTGTTGCTGCTGGGTGTGGTGCTTCCGGTTCGCCTATCTAACATCCTTCCTTATCTTGTCCCCATCATTCTCATGCACCAGCCATCAGCAACCGGGACAAGGCAGTCATGCCGCCCGTGCTCCAGCAACAGTCTGCCTTGCTGAGCGCTGCTGCTGCTGCTGGCCGTGGCATGGCTGGTGCACCTGTCCCTCCTTCCGCAACTCTCCCCCCTGCGGCTGTGCCGTAAATCGACTTCTGAGGGCCGCAAGAGCCTTCCGCACCTCTCTGTCCCCTGCTGCTGTTCCTGTAACTCGGGGCAGGTCATGGTTTATCCGTGTAGCGTGAACGACGCTTGTTTGTGAGAGTGTGACTGTCGAGAATGTGACTATCCTGATGCATGGATGGTGCTTAGAGGGCACCAATGCAACATTTCTCATTAAATCATATCCAGGCCCGACGCCTCTCAACTTCTCCAGATCTATGTTTCCCAGCCCGCTTTCTTCCATCCCTGCCCTCTGTATCACTTCCTCATTTCGAGTGTATGGCTAAGGTACTTAACAGGATGCATAGTTACAGTGCAGCCCATGTTTCTACGGCACTAATCCATCCAACGTCCACACAGTTCTTTCATTCTTTCCTCAAAACTGGATCCAGGGTGAATCCTCAACTACACCTCATCACAAGAAGCAGCTACCGACTGAATTGCGGACATGACACGCAGAAAATGCAGTCACGCACATAACATCACACATACCGTACAAACACAACCCGCCTTAATTTTGTACCCGCCTCCTTTGTTGGTGAGAAAATCAGCCTTTAGAAATGTGGGGTGAAAAGCTAAGGTGCTCGATGTTGCCCATACCATACAGGCCATTGCATTCTTTTGTTGAATAGTGGTGAACCATTTCATTTAGGTGCTGCTCTGGATCAGGCCCTACGATATCAGGAATTTTACCCTGAAATTCATGATTTCCAGGGTATTTTTTTTACCTACCCTGAAAATCCAGTATTCAGCTTTTCCTATGGCTGATTTTTCAGCCTTCACATGCCACATGACTCTGAACTTTCAGCAATTTTTTTGAAGTGACACTGATGCCTTTACGTTGTAATGAGTTTGACCCTGAAAGCGAATCCTGAGAAGAATAGAACGAGAATGAATGACTATGAACGAAGTGAGTACAAATAGGAAACCCTAATTGGGTTGTACCCCCTATGGGATACCCCACTATAGCCTACACAAATAAGTAAGCTATAATGTTCTGACACACCCCCATAGGCAAAATGGGGGAGAACAAGGGGTCACAAGACCAGTCAAGCAAACGAAAGCAAAGCTCAGGGTGGATCACAAAGTCACCACACATTCCGAGCACAAGTTCAAAAAGGCCAGAAGGCCAGTCCACATGCAAGATCATATACAGAGATATACAAGAGTCAAGCAAGCAAGGGCAAGAGTATATATAGGTGAAGGTACAAGCAAGGTCAAGAAGTGAGCAAGTGAGGCAAGACAGGCACAAGACCCAGCTGCGTGCAGCAGCGCTGATGATCAGAAGGCGCAAGTGCCTTGGTGAAGACATCAGCAGTGTTGGCCTCAGAGGCCACGTACGCAAGTCGCAACTGTCCACGCTGCTGTAGCTCACGAGCAAGAAAGTAGCGGAGAGCAATGTGCTTTGTCCTGTGCTCCAGTCGCTGCTCTCGACACAAGGCCAGCATGGCCTTGTTGTCTACGTACAGGACTGGAGGAGAACGAGGCGGCTCTCCAAGGTCGGTCAGCAGGTAGGTGAGCCAGCGAAGCTCCTGGGCAGCCATAGCCCCGGCGTAGATCTCAGCCTCACAACTGGAGCCGAGAACAGAAGACGAGCGGGTAGCCCGCCACGAAACAGAGCCGGAACCAAGGCTGAAGGTGTAACCCTGTGACGACCGCTGCGTAGCCTGGTCGTCAGCCCAAGAAGCGTCTGCGTGCCCAGTGAGGACCACTGGACTGCGCCCTCCAAGCACTAGCCCCATGCCCGACGTACTGCACAAGTAGCGCAACACCCTCTTCGCTGCAGCCATGTGCTCTGGTCGGTGTCTCCCAGGAGCAACATAGCGTGCAAGAATGCTAAGAGGGTATGCAAGGTCAAGTCGTGTGCAGGTCATCAGGTACATGAGGCAGCCAACAAGCTCTGCATACGGGCCACTCGACTCTACGGACTCATCCGAAGGCAGAGCTGAGAGCGAGTGGCGAGTAGGCAGAGGAGTGGCCTGAGGCGAGGAGTACGTGTAGCCGAAGCGCTGAAGGACCTGCTGCACCATGTGTGACTGAGTCAGGGTAATGGTGCGGCGTGCTCTGTCCCGGGTGATCTGCAAGCCAAGGTAGCTGCGCAGTTCACCCAGGTCAGTGCACGTGTGTCTCTTCTGCAGCTCGGACTTCACGTAGGTGAGTCCAACAGTGTCAGCTGTGGCAAAGACCAAGTCGTCGACGTACACGAGGATGTAGAACGGCGGCAGAGAGGTGTCAGTACGCAGAAACAGCGACGGGTCGGCAGTAGAAGGAGCAAACCCAAGTGCCGCCAGCGTAGTCCTCAATGTGTCGTGCCACTCACGTGGCGCCTGGAGGAGACCGTAGACTGGACGCCGGAGACTCCACTGGGTACCAGAAGGGAAAGACCTAGTGAAGCCAGGTGGGCGACGCAGCCAGATCTCCTCGTGCAGGCTGCCCTGCAAGAAAGCAGTGCTAAAGTCGAGAGAGTGCAGCTCGTAGTCACGGTGAGCAGCAACGTGCAGTAGTACCCGAAGAGTGGTCATCTTCGGGGTGGGAGAGAAGGTCTGAATTTAGTCAACTCCCTGCCGCTGACTGAAGCCACGAGCCACGTAACGCGCCTTGAAGATAGGCGGAGAACCCGGCGGCCGCTTCACCCTGAAGATCCACATGCCACTGACTATATTCGCCCCAGGAGGGGGAATTGCGTCAACGTAGGTGCCTGTGGACCTCCAGGAAGCCATCTCTGCATCCATAGCTGCCTGCCACTGAGAGGAGTAGGGACCCTCTATCGCCTCCGCGTAAGAGTGCGGAGTCGGGATGTCTAGTGCATCCGGGTCTCCCTCAGGGGCGAGCAGTACAGACGCGAGATGAGGTGAAGCGGCGGCCAGAAATTGGAACTCCTCCTGCCTGTCCTCAAGGACGTCCGTGCCAAGGGCACACTCACCCCCGACGGACGGAGGACAGACAGACTCAGACTCAGCAACTAGGCTAGCAGCGTAGTCTAGACGACAGCGAGCAGCAAAGTCGACAAGCTCAGCAACTAAGGCAGACGCAGCAGCAGACTCAAAGGAAGGGTCAGTGACAACAGTAGCAAGGAGACGCGTGATAGTAGGACTGGCAGCACGAAGAGAGTCCGACACCGTGTCGGCAAGAGCAGGAAGAGAGGAAGCAGGAGGAGAAGGCAAAGGGGCACGCAGAGGAGCAGTAGACGGACGCAGAGACATCCGGTGCGTGCCAGGGACAGAAGGAGGACGCTGACGCGAACCGCGACCACTAGTACGCGCAGTACGAACAGGCGACGCAGGACGAGACACAGGCTCACGACGCTCAGTAAGACCTCCAGACGCACCAGCGTAGGGAGAAGGAGCAGGCAAAGGGGAGGCAGGCTGTAGCTGTGACTGTGACTGGACAGGCTGTGGACCCTCTAAAGGAGGAGGAGAAGGA